GATGATCCCATGTGAATAATTTTGCATAATTTAGAAATAACACCAATTAACAAAGCAAGCAAATGAACAAACAAGGCAGGTGCCATTTTGATAGATCCCTTCTTAGCTTCCAGAAATTTTCATGAAGTAAAGGGGGGAAAAAAATGTGGCTGAAACTGAACTGCTATCTAAAAAAATTTTTCACCATCCTTATATTCATTTAGTAGATTGCTCTGCAAATCCTGTCAACATATATTTGAAAACTCTTAAGAACACCTTTATGAAAGGTGGAGTTCAGTTGGTATTGCCACTGTCATCAAACTGTTCTCAGAGTATCTATGCAGAGTCCTTAAAAAGGACATGGAAAAAGAGGATACACTGTCATCCCCGGTAAACACTGTAATCACAAGCTAGTATCTAGGCTGATAAGATGTGAAAGTTTTTGGCAAGCATACAGATATAAACAGATAGTTATTTAAAGGGCATTTGGAGAAGTTAATCTTGTTCCATTGTATGCTCAAAAATATTTTGCCATTTCAAAATGCGGTACCTGGACACAAAGTTTGCGTGCTTTAGGATCGTTTTTATTAAGATTTTTGGAAAAAAAAATTACTTTCAGAAGATAATAAAAGCATATCTCTTGAAGAACTGCAAAAATAAATATTTACTTAAGTTTTTCCTTAAATAGGTTCCACTTTTAAAGATATCTGTTCACAGTAACTAGATAGCATGTCAAAAATTATAAAATGATAATTTGTGTGCCACTTCATTATCACATTTATTTTGAGTTCATACTGGTTGTGTGAAAGTCAGTTTTCTATTAGATAAAATACAAAAAAGAATTACAATTTCTCAAAGAAGTTTACATCTCCATTTTGCTCCATGTAATTTTTTGTGTCGAGTGATGAAAATTCTTTTTCTTATTTTTATGTGATAATTGTGTTTTTATATCGAGTGACTGGACTATGGGCATTCAGTGTAAACTCTTTGTACTGTCTCATTTCCTCATCCATCATTGTCTGTCAATGGGCATGGTGCTGTGACCAGTGTTATCAGGTGACGACAGTACAGGAAGTGAGCCGCCATTATCACCCCCAGAAAGGCTTCCCATCAGACGCTCTAGTACCAGAGACAAAAACAGAAGAGGGGAAACATGTTTCCTACTGACGACAGGTGATTACACGTGTGCTCCTGATGAAGGGATCAGGAAAGGTAGGCATGCATTTAATCAGATCATAACAGGTAACTTATCAATTAAGTGCTGGAAATATATTGAGGTATGTTGAATGCTCATTCATCATTTTCTACAAAAGACTGTATGCGGTGCTCTTTTCCTCTCTCCATCACATCTTCTCTCATTATAAACATATAAGAACACATATCATAACAGCCTACTTGCGTGTCATATTCAAAAGACTTTTCACCCACCTTCCTATCTTCCCACTCTCCTTCCTTCCTTCCTTCCTTTCTTTTTTGGTTTGCCATTTGTCTTTGGGCAAAATTGTAATAGAATATATAAATACTAAATCACTCATTTAATTTTTTAAATATAACGTATTAAGCAGTCTTTAAAAGTTATCTTTTTCACTACAACAAATAAACTCACTAATTGGCTCTCTGCATATATCTGATGAGTAATTGATGACTCTAAAACAAAACAATTATGTTTTTTTTTTTTTCCCCCAAAGTAAAGCATTAAATTTACTCTAAGTAAGTGTCTTGGTCTCTTATTCAGTACTCGGGTAGTTTTTGCCAGTGGTTTATCTGAGTGTCTCAAAGCTGCAAAGGTACAAGATGCTCAGCCTTATAGAACAGTGTATCTAATCAATTGAAAGGCTATTTACGTACTTACAAAATGCACTTATAGAATTTCTCTTCAGGACCAATAATAATAATTCTAAGTTTAGTACTATTTCTCAACAGACACGGAAGAGTGCCTGACACATAAAAGATAATCATTTTTTGTTGAATGAATAATAATTGTTGGGCAAGCATCTTTGTTAAGGAATATAACAGAATACGGAAGCTCCACGTCATCATGTGATTTTTTCTTCCTCGACTGTACCACTGTCTATGACTATTCCCTTGATGCTCTGTTTGGGTAACTTTACAGACTTCAAGATAATTGCAGTATTTTTCTCCATTAAAAAGAATTTTGTGTTAATTATAACCCACTTTTGTCAAAATGCTGGTACGCTCTTTGGCAGTTCCAGTTGCTTTATTCACAGAGTTATTTTTCTCTGTTTATCGACACAATAGAGAAGAACTATAGTAATTTCTTATGGTAATTAAATGAATTGGAATGAAAAACAACTCTAAGACTTTTATATTAGCACAACTGCATTTTAAAAATACTGTACTTACTTGTTATTCATTGCAGTTTCTCCCTATTGAATTATTTACCATTTTAAGCCTCAAATATTTATTCTGTTACACCCTTTTTCTTTGAAATATCTCATTATCCATGTTGTACTTCTCTCTCATATCTTCTGATCGCTTTATATTGTCCTTTTCTGCCTCCATGCCTTTGAGACTCAAAAGAGAAAACAAAGGACTCTTCTTTTGTTTCCTCAATGCGTAGTATTTTAAATACCACTCCATTCCAATTATATCCACTGTCTGCATATATTCCTTGCACCAAAATTTATTTCAATCATCTGAATAGGTTTATTCGATTGCTTACTATTTTACGTTTAAATATGTGATAGAAAATTTTTAAGTATTTTATGAAGATAGTTAATACTCTATCATAGTACTTGAGAAAAATGTATGTACATACATTAAATAATGATAATAACAATAATATCTAATTAATATCTTATAGAGAACATGCTGTTGTAAGTGCATTGCATATCTTAACTTGATATATATGTATGTACATGTATATATGTATACATATTAATATGTATATGTGGTTGAATTTTATATACATTTTTGAGCATCATCCAATAAAGTATTACATGCAATGTTTATACCAAGGTTATGTGTTTAAGAATCTTATTAGAATTTATTTTTCCTCCATGCTAGAAAACATTTATAATTTTAAGCTGTTAAAGGAAATCACAGATAATAAAAAGCTTTGCAAATTATAAGGCACTATATAAATTCAAAGTTTTGCTATACAATTGTGACATTTCATGAGCAAAGCAATTAATAAGATATTTAGTTTGCATGGAAAAGTTATACATGCAATCTTATTTCACAAATACAAATTCTCTCAAACGATGGGAACATCTTTGAAATTTTATCCGTGAGCTTTTTAGTTCTTGCCATTTCTCGTCATAATCAACTCTTTTTCATTCTTCCTGAATTCATTTGTAGCTAGGTGTTTTTTTCCTAGTTCTGGTAACATTTATGGGTAACTTCATTTAATCTTTTTAGTGTGTTATCTTGTCATATCTACCAGGAATTCATTTATTTCTTCCGTTTCCTTTTATGTAGGTTACAGATTTCTCCTGTTACCTCTACTCAGACATTTATTTCCTATATGACCCCTTCATCTACCTTTCAAGGTGGTCTCTGCACTGATTTGATTTTAGAGTTTTATAAATTCTCCTCTATATGAGGGTACTTCAAAAAGTTCATAGAAAGATTCATATTATCCTTCAATTCTATTTTCCATGAACTTTTAGAAGTACTCTCATATAAAAAAAGAAATTACTGGATTGCCACTGAATTCTTTTTCTGCCTACAAATATGAGTATAGTTGGTCATACATTAAAAAAATAAAATAAACTTAAGGATTCCATGAAAGAGTGAACTCCCAATACTTAGAATCCATATTTTTATTTATACAATAGTTTTTAGGAAAGCATATTATGTAAATTAAGACATACTCGTGGATAGGCAGTTACAATATTGCCCCAAATACGCATATACTCTTAAGCACTGTATAAAATGCATGCTATGTATTTAGATGTTAGTTCAAACTGGGCTTAATATTGATTATTCTTATGAATAGTATTTTCAGCCATTTATTAAGACCTTGATTGAACAAAATTTTATCAAACTTTCTCATCAGAAATGAACACATAGAATAAAGAAAAATAAACACATATGAATAACATATAATTTTACTAATTAAATACTTGTTACTAAATTAGAAAGAAAGCCTTTTCAAATGGACACTGAAATTATAGTCGTTAAAAATAAAGGACCCGTAAAATGAGTAGAAAATATCTATGCTAAAAACTATAATTCAGAAAAATAACATTTAGAATATTATTGCAACATTTAGAATATT